GAGAGAGAGAGAGAGAGAGAGAGAGAGAGAGAGAGAGAGAGAGAGAGAGAGAGAGAAGTGATGGCTTCCCTTGAGAGGCGGAAACCCTATGGAAGCATGCTGAAAGGCAAACTGTGACATGCCCGTTTGTATGACACGAAGTCTCCTCAAAAGAGTCCATTGATTTGTAGTTCATCTAGCGTTATTGACGATGTGATGCTGAAAAATGACCATGAATGGATGCTTGCTGATGTGCTGTCGGATGCAGAAAAACAGAGGTCAAAGCCAAGGGCAGATCAAGTGCTGCAAAACGGTGTGTGACTGCCTAGCGCCCATGAGAAGTGAAGTTGTCCTCACAGTTTTTCTGTTAAGATGAACACCAAACAAGTGGTTTTCTGCCTCCTCCCTTCCTCCGTACAAATAGAAAAGGAGTCTATCCCCCTTTCTTTCTAGTGCAGTCTTGGCCTTACCAAGGCTATGCTGGTCTTGGCTTTTGCCGCTGATTGTTTTCTGCGCATTAGACTGCTCCCGGTGATTCCCTGCACGTTCCACGGTGGCGCAACGGAAGAGGACAAACGAGTTCTATAACCCTGGGCAGAGATTGTTGCAGGTGGATGACAAGGGGGAAAGTATGGTAATCTCTATGCAGTGACAGGAAGAGGACATGGTGTAAGAAATTACGTACTGAGCCGCCACTACCTTTCCCAGGCAAAGGGCGTCGCCGCACGGCACACGAAAAGAAAAACGAAACGAGTGCATCTTCCGCCAGAAAATAGCCAGGATCGGTTTGCTATAAATAGTAACGAGTGTATTTTGCCACCTTTTTTGGGCAGATGCACTCGTTTCGTTTTCGTTTCGTGTGCCGTGTGGCGAGGCCCAAAGTCGAGGGTTGAAAACGCGACATTCCGAATTCTTTGGGTGACGGGGCGCACAGGGTGAATCCGCATCAACGAAAGAGTTTTGGAGGTAGTGGCGGCTTAAACTTTAAACCACCAGTACTTGGCCCAGCTATCGATGCCGAGCCTGAATATGCCCAGCGCTCCGTTTCGTGCCGACCCGCCAGCGAAACAAAAAAAAATTGTTTTGGCTGGCGGCGTCAGCCTTTCAGGTCCGGTACCCCAGGCCTCCGAAACTTGTGGGGCGTTAACGACAACGCCCCGCGGCCAACATATGGGCCAAGTACTGGTGGTTTAAACGCCGTCAGGCCGAAACGACCTGACCATTCGAAAAAGACCCACCCAAAAAAAACAACATCCCGCTCTGGACGTGATTCCTGTTAGATATACATCACGGCTCACCCCAAAAGAAAACCATCGCGCTATGGACATGATTCGTGTTGGATGCATTTTCTCATGGCCCTGCACATCGAACCGTTATGTACTTGTATTCGAACATCGATGAGGGCCGCCTACTATCTGGAAAACTAAGCACTCTGCAAAAACAGCTCTTCGCCCTGCGCAGATTCGAGCCCCCTCTCTCTTGAATGAAATAAATCGAAACCTGAGCAAAAACAAAAAACAAAACTGGCAGCCAGATTAATCGCGCCACCGCTAACACACTATGGGCCCAGTCGGGAGCGTCTTCCAAGACCCGCTCTGCAATTTAGGAGTTATAGTAATAATGAAGTGAAGTAAATAAGTAGATATAGGGCGTCGCTGCACTACTCTTGAAATGTGCAAAACGAGAGTGAATCTTCCGCTAGAATATGGAAAGATACGTGGCCATGATTTTTGTCTTTTGTGCATGTCAAGAGTAGTGCAGCGAGCCCCATAGTAGGAAAAAAAGATTTTGAAGTTGAAGTTACGAAGACATTATGCAGTCCTTCGGGACATCCGTTAAAATTGGAACGATACAGAGAAGATTAGCATGGCCCCTGCGCAAGGATGACACACAAAAATCGAGAAAAAAAAAAAAAAAGACATTATGCAGGACCATCCAATTGGCAAGGGAACGGATGGTCCAGAATGGCGGCCTCACCACACCACTGTTGAAAACTCGAAACGAAAAAAGTACGAGTGCATCTTCCGCCGAAAGTGTGAAGATTCTGAAGATGCATCGGGTACTATTCATTGTAACGGATGCATCTTGGCACTCTTTGCGGGATGGGAATATGCACTCGACACTTTTTCTCATTTTGACAGTGGTGTGGCGGAGTTCTAGGAGTCCGTATTTCAGTCCTTTGATCTTAGTGCCCCTGAAGCTTCCCCGCATATTTTGTTTTCTTTTCTTGCTGTGGGATGACCTATTGTTTGGGTGCGCGTGGGGGTTGTCCTGTTGGGGGTGCACACTGGTTTTCCTATGGGGAAACACACACGGGTTTCCCTGTGGGTCCCGCTAACGGCCAAAATGGGCCAAGGAAAAATGGCGCAGGCAGTGACGACCTAAAAGAACACGGCCCATTAGATGGCCAGCAATGTGCCCAAAAAGAACATGGCCCATTACATGGTCAGTAATGGCTCTGCTGTTATTCGGTTGGGGGTGGGGGACGGTGAAAAGGGAGGTGCAGCTACTGGCAAAATCCTCGGTCTTTGCGTTAGCCGGACCCCCACCGGCGGCCCCACCCCATCCTTGAGCACTATGGTTGGGGCAGGGGCCAACATTCATCCCCTCTGATAGGGGGCTGGAGGGAGACAACAAAGCTATGTTTGCAGGGGTCCCCTGCATAAGCCTTAGGAGTATGGGTAGGTAGGTAGTGAAAGCTGTTATGAACTTGGTTGTCTGACAATTTGATTGCCACTCACACTCAGAAGTACTCACACAGGCCCATACATGCATGAGACGAAGGGGAGAAGGAGACAGGGTCCAACTGCACACCGATCAGAGATAAACAGCGGAATAGCAAATATGCACAGAAGGGGAGAACACACTCAGTGTTTCTCTCTCCCTGACACACTCCCAACAACCAATCACAATTGACACTGGGAAGATCACAATTGGAAATTAACCCAGATGATGAGCCAACTCAACACAGTTAACCTCAATTATCGTAACAGAGTTCAACCCAGTATCTCGCCACTCCAGAACCACACACTCCACTCACTACTACACTCTCAGAGTCTAGCGCTGCACAGTAACAGCCTCCCAGAGGCCAGCGCCATACACCCAGATGCAGATCATGAACAGCGAAGTAGTCCCCAGTGCCGATGAGTCACTCTGACGATAAAGAAGGCAGCTATGGCTGCCTGGCTGCTACCGCAGCACTAGTACCCACATGTACTCAGTGAAGACCTCCGATATAGCCCTGCCAACGCAGATATCCCCAGGGGATAGATGCGCTGAGTACAGCCCCAGCTATGGCTGACTCAGGGGGGCGGCTATGGCTGCTTCACCGCTGCTGAAACCCCAGGTGCCGCTGTGGGTCTTCAGCGCTGCTCACTTGGTTGGCCACCAACGCTGCACGCGAAAAATGAAAAGACTCTACCTATAGTTTTCGGCCTAACATACTGGACCGAAACTACTACCGGTACCGTTGCCCTAAGGGCCTACCCGGCCTCTACAGCAGTCCTACAGCACTTAGGGCGCAGTGCCCCTTAGGGCCTGCAAACACTCAAACGCCACCGCTGTTAATTCTATTCTATTTTTAGAACAGCGGACAGCCCTCAGTGCGACCACAGAAAAACACAGCAATCACACAGTAACAAACATGCCGCAAACTCAGCAGGCAAAACCACGCCGTAGTGTACAACCCCGCAGACAGATACGGCAGCGAACAGCAAGTCATTACAAAGTGGTGAATTGAAAGAATTTGAAAGATGATGAAGAGATTTGAGAGAAGAATATAGTGTAGTAAAAAAAAAAAAAAAGCACTCGGTTAAAAATAATAATAAACATCTACGGTGTGCGTCCAGTTGTTGACGCCTTCAGGTGGCTTGCAGTTATTAACATTGTGATGTGGCTTGCAGTTGTTCACATCGTCGAATCCCATTGCCTTCCCATCCCCCATCCCCAACGCTTCCTTGCTGCTACCGGCCTGATTTCTCTCTCTCTCACTCTAGTATTGCCTTGTCGCCTTGT